CTGGAATTTCTAAACAATCCATTTTCAAATTGCTTTTTCTTTCCATTTGAAATCTTTCTAATGGAATCAAGCAAAGGGAAGGTGCTCTGAAGGAAGGGAAACAAAGTCCCCCTCCTGGCAACCTCCAGGACACCTCCTTAACAAGATATGGGCGCTACTCCTCTACACCTGCCAACATTTCAAAAGAAGTTTGATATAAACACAAAAACATGTATATAACTTTGATTCAGACACAAATTATCCTTGATAACTTGAGGTCAAGGTTATGGTCAATGCTGGGTTCTAATGTGTCAATGCGCTTAGGAATATAGAGTGAGGATTATAGAGGTGATGAGTTGCTCTTATGATGACTAGTTCTTCCTCCCACCCACATGCTCATTGCCTCCTCTTCCTCCTCTTTTTTTACAGCTTGCCATGTTCTTGTTATCAAGTTCTGCTCCTTTACCACCACCAGCTTCCAACCTCCCATGGGGAGCAGTCTGGTATTGGAAAATACACCATCCCCTTATTGAAGTAGTGTCTAGAATAATGTATATGGGCAGAGGAAGGAGAACAAGCCAGCTACCAAACAGTGACACTCTGAATCCAAGTTTCATTATTTTTTTGGGTCTGATTTATCTTTACTGTGCTAAACCACACCCCTGCAAGAATGGATGGTGTATTGGGACAAGAATAGATGGGGTATTGGGACAGGAATGGATGGTGTATTGGGATAGGAACGGATGGTGTATTGGGACAAGAATGGATGGGGTATTGGGACAAGAATGGATGGGGTATTGGGACAGGAATGGATGGGGTATTGGGACAGGAATGGATGGTGTATTGGGACAGGAAAGGAAGGAAGGGAAACAAAGTCCCCCTCCTGGCAACCTCCAGGACACCTCCTTAACAAGATATGGGCGCTACTCCTCTACACCTGCCAACATTTCAAAAGAAGTTTGATATAAACACAAAAACATGTATATAACTTTGATTCAGACACAAATTATCCTTGATAACTTGAGGTCAAGGTTATGGTCAATGCTGGGTTCTAATGTGTCAATGCGCTTAGGAATATAGAGTGAGGATTATAGAGGTGATGAGTTGCTCTTAT